ATCGGAAGACACGTTGTCGGAGACAGAGAATGGGAAGTTTACCGAGTTCTGATCGAAGAGGAAGACGGGCCGGGGCTCCCCAGGGGGAAGATAGAGGAGCAGGTGTGGAAAACATTGATGGGCTGGGACTGAAAAAACTGAAAAACCTTTCAGACAAGTAAGTACATGACATGAAACAAGATAGCAAGACAGGTCCTCTCTTACTAACATAGACAAATGCAGTTAGTAACATGAAGAAAAAAAAAAGAGAAGTTTTGTAAGTAAAGAGTGTCCCCAACATAATGAGTTCACGTTGTCTTTTTGTTTTTCCTTGCTGGAGAATTTTTGTACATGTGAATTAGATTAATCTGTTCTTTCGATTTGAGTAATGATTTGTGTTGCTTTTTCTTTCTCCAATAATCAATGTCCACGTGGGAGAAAAACAAGAAAATTTCCCGAGAAAGAAAACCAAAATTTTCCAGCCGATTCTCTCGTTCCAAGCGAGAGAGAGAAAGAGAGATCCAAAACCTGGCCACAAAGCTGGTTTCAACTCCTAGAAACATTGCTGAAGAAGAAGAAGAAGAAGAAAGGAGGAGCAACGCTCGTGAAGGATGATGCTCCATGGCGAGTTGAATCATGTGCTGGATCGTTCAAATTCCTGTCCGGTAGCCGGTAGGAAATGATGGGTTGGCGATGAAAGCTGTTCTGGAATCTGCAGGCCCCGAATGCCTTGCTCCCGGACAGGTTACACCGGTTCTGTTGCTCGGCTTTTGTACGGAAAGAATTCAAATTTTAGACAAATCTTCTGTTGAGATGAATACTGGGCTTGACGGACCAAACGGGACACGTGACGGACAAGGAAACAACGTGCATGAGAACTCGGAAGAAATCGAAGGACATGCATGGACAAATATACGCGGACACGACATGACACTATGACCAGCCCAAGTCATGATATCAAGAAGGCCTAATCATTATATTGGATCCAAAAGCCCAATCTAATCATGGTAGTTAACGAGGCAAAATAAAATCATATATTCTCCTTCATTATTCCGTGCACGCATCACGACCGACATTCCTTCTTTGTTCTCATTTCAATTCTTGCTTTTACAGTTGTATTCTTTCGTGTATATATGTAAGCAATATGATGAATAAAATGTTTGTCTCCATTTTATGAAAATCTTTGAATTACTCTTCGATTCTATTTCGCTCAGTCTCTTGATCCTTACCAATATTTTTAATGATTCCACTGCAAAACAAACGACAATCATTCAAGAAAAATCATTCAACCTCTTACCCATTCATTAAAAATTACCGTATATTATTCGGTTCTGGTTCCGCTACGGTTCGTTTCAGTTTTTGTTAAAAAAAATTAGATTTTCTTAAGAAAATTTCGGTTTTTCAAAAAATTTATAAGGTTCAGTTCGATTCGGTTCGGTTACGAAAATTTCGATTCTATAAAAAACATATCGTTCGAAAATTTTGAATGGTACGGTTCGGAAAAAATATCAAAATTTTCGGTTCGCTACGATTTGATTTCTCAAAACCTAATTGAAACGCCCACTCCTATGATTTATAATAAAAATAAATTCTTTTGCTTTCCCTTTTTTGCAAATATCCTATATGAATGCCGATTAATATCAAAGATTAAATAAATTGAAATAATGCTTCGTTGGCTAACACTTCAAGTGGAGCGAAGATACCGAAGATCTTTGTTCTATCTTCAGCTTCAGTTTTATATATATAAAAAAGCACTTAGATAGTTTTTATTTTGAATTTTTTGTTTAGTTTTTAGATTTTGGATTTTAATTTTTATTTTTGGTTTTTTAGTATTTATAAATTCAAAAAAAGAAGCTTTTAATTTTTATTTGATTTTTCACTAAAATAGTTTTCCAAATTTAAAAAAATTACAAAATCTTCATTGCCAATTTTTTTTTTTTAGATTCTAAAAACTCCAAAAAATCATCTGTTCAACCTCTTAATGAAATTTTCTCCCGGTCTGCCATTAATGGTTATTTTCTAGTTTATACCAAACCAAAAAATTCTCTTTTTTTTTTCTTTAGGTAAGAAATCTCTTGGCAATTACAGCAACGTGCAGGATAAATTATAAATAATAATTTTATATATTTATGTTTATACTTATTTTTTACATTTTTATGTGTCTATAATTTAAATTTTGATGTTATCTTTTTCTGTACTTTTTGTGTTTTTTTTAACTGATATGTCATATTTCTGTTATATATCGAACGATATTCCATTTGATTTTCTGAGTCATGCCATTTTTGGATCGTTGATTCCATCACCCTTTTAACGGCGTTAACGGTTGTGGCCATTATTACCAATATATGGGAAAATCGTGTATTTAGTTAGTAATTAAGATACAATTTGTGTATTCACTTGAATTTTGAGAATTCACGTTGTAAACCAATATTTTGATGAAATTTATATATTAGTATGAGATTTTACTTTTTTTCTATACCAAAGAATTCTCTTGGCATTAAACGTGCAGGGTCTAATAAAAAGAATAATTTAATGTATTTTAATAATATTTATAATTTACCGTTAATTTGATTTATAGTTTAGTTCAATTTAATTTCATGTTTAAAAAACATAAATGACTTAAACAGGTCTCGAATCACTTGTGTTTCCTTATCCTTAGCGAGTTAGAAGAAGTTTTAAATGGTTGCATCAAGTAAATAAACAAACAATAAGATCCCTAATTTCTTTCATTTTTAGAATTTGAAATGAGATTCTAATTCCAGTAAATCATATTCTAAGCCTAAATGATATTCAAGTAACATGATGATATGAATCACAGCCAATTCTAAATTCACATTCATATGGTAAATCCTTACGAGCCAATGAGAAGTTGGAAAGTTTTTTTTTCTCTTTCTAATCTTCTATATATGGAATGCCAAAGATATTCAAAGAGTATAGGAAATGTGAAGAAAAGAAACAAATTTAAGGAAATAATGCTACGAATTTAAAAATGTGCCTTAAGATACAGAAGATCTTGGTCGTGTTTTTTATTTCAATTTTAAAAACATTGAGAAAGGTATCATCTTTATCTCTGTCCATTAAAATAGTTCATCTTCTATTATACCAAGAATTATGTCTTGTTTACATTCGAAAAACGTGCATTGTCAATTGTGACCATTTATATATATATATATATATATATATATATATATCCCTAGTGGATATATTTATATATATATATTATGAGATGACGAAAGGAATAAAACCATGAAAAAGAAATGCCAAAAAAGATGATTCAAAAGAGTGAAGTGGAACCTAATCCAAATCTATAAACCCTATATATATATATATATAAAGAGAAGAAAAAAATGGCCTAACTCAAACCTTATGTTATATTATCCACTACGTACACTTGGTCGTCATGTAAGACAGATTCAGGCCATTTGCCCGTTTAGGTAACTTTGGAACTTGCTATATAAGTAAGATCGTCTTCTTCAAGGTTCAAACACAAATACAGAAATGTTTGTCGGTCCACTCAAGAAAATAAAATAATAAAAGAACATGGTAGGGAAATTATACGGGCAGGACGAAATGTTTCTTCGTAGAGGGCCTTGGCTTGAAGAAGAGGACGAACAGCTCGTGAAGTTCGTGACCCTTTTGGGAGAAAGGCGTTGGGATTCCTTGGCAAAAGTTTCTGGTATAATATACATACATATATATATATATATATACATATATATATTCGAAGTTCTTTTCATGGAAGGGATTGTATCATCATTTGGACATGTGTTTTTGTGATGTGTAGGATTGAAGAGGAGTGGTAAGAGTTGCAGGTTGAGATGGATGAACTATTTGCGTCCGAGTCTAAAGCACGGGCCGATGACCCGGGAAGAGGAGAAGATCATCCTCCAACTCCATGCTCTTTTCGGAAACAAGTAAGGAGCTCGGTCTAGCGGAATATCGAAGTACAAATTCCTTAAAATACAAATCTAGAACACAAAATAACAATGTTTCTAATCCAAATCCAATGTGTAGAATTCAGTATGTTACGATTAATTCTAGGTTTGGTATAATAATCTCTAAGATGAGATCGAATCTTCTATATGTAAATCAATGGAGCAACGGAACAGGACAATCATTGTCTTGTCTCAATGCATTCTTTGTGTTCTCAAGATGGTCAAGGATCGCTAGAAGATTGCCCGGTAGAACTGACAACGAGATAAAAAACTACTGGAGAACTCATGTGAGAAAGAAAGCTCAAGTTCAATCCCATGATCATGGTATAGTTTGGAATGTCAATCGCATTTACATATATTCTTCCTATATATGTATACTAAGACTTCATCCGAATGCGATGATGCAGATAAGATCATGGATTCGAGAGGTGATTCCGGAGAAGAGTATCTCTTGCCCAAATCTAACGAAACGGAGGCAAGAATTCAAGAATACGATTTTGACGTTATGAAGGAAGCAGCGAACCGAGAAATTTTGGAAAGTGACAAGGGAACTTGTGGAATAGACGGTTTCGGGGCTCTAACTTCACCTTTCGAAACACGGATTTCGGATTGGGTATCGGAGATTTCGACCGATCATAGTGCAGGAAATCTTGTCGAAGATCGAAGCAGCAGTAGTAACGGCAAGAGTAACATTGGTTCTTGGTGGTTTCAAGAACATACAGATTTGGAAGAGTTTTCATGCTCTCTTTGGACTTGATTGATATAATTGTAAAGATTGTTTTCCTTGATGTTGGCTTAAAAAAGCTATATGCCCTAATTCCCATGATTTCTTGATTTCTAAATTGATGGATTTGAATTCGGTCATAAAATTTTGAGAAAATAGCCTAAAAAATCACGATTTTTTTTAAAAGTTCACTTTGTAATTTATATATAAAAAAATATAAACTTTATTAATCTTGACATATTTTCATACATCCATAATTTTATATAGAAGTTAAAAAATTCGTAAAGTTAATAAATATGTGTGAATATGACAAGATTGATAAAGTTCATGATTTTATATACAAATTACAAAATTCATGATTTTATATATAAAAAATTAAAAGTTCATAATTTTTTAGGCTATTATCCCTAAAAATTTCTCCTATACGAAATTTTGTTGTTGTTAATTGTTGAACTCCATATTTCATTTGCTAATTCATTTCTATTTGTTATATTTAACATTTCCCCACCCTTTTGTCGTCTTTAAGATTTTTTTAGTATAAGTGGCGAAATTATCAAGTCTTGAACTTTCTCATTAATATAAATTTTATTTGGCACTTTTATGCAATATGTAAGATATATACATTATCCTAAATTACGAAAGCAATAATTTTAAACGTTATGGATTATTTGTATATGTCATGTTCCATGTCACAAATGGTGAGAGGAGATGAAGATAATCATATATAATTGATATATAATCAAAGGTAGGGTTATCGAATTGAACAAGGCACGCTATGTCACACATACAAATATGCTGTTTATATGCAAAATTATAATTATCAAATATTACACAACGTCTCTAGAGATTTCAAAAAATAATTATCGGGTTATATGGTTTAAATCATATAACATTTAGACCTCTACGGACTGGGGTTTTCAACCACATTTATTAGATAAACTCCCAAAATTAAAATAATTTCTAATTATTAATAGACTCGATTAATAACTACTCGTTCAAAAATTAAAATCTTTTCTAATTATTAATAGACCCGATTAATAACTAGTCGTCACGTCTTCGATGTGCTCTTGATGATCTATGCAATAATTTTCGGATGGAACAGTTGTGATTCAAAGTCTTTGCTCATCTTACTCTAATCACCGGATTAGTTAAATCGAAGCGATTGTGATTGCGATTGCAAGCGTTTATGATACCGTTATAAGAGATTGTTTCCGATTGTTTGATAAAAATCATTATTGATAGCGATTGCAAGTGACTACATTTCAAAGCCACTGATAACGAATGCTATTATGATTTGGTATATATTAACAAAAATTATGCGATATTTTTTTTTTAAAATAATACTTTTTTAAAATCTTTTTAATTATTTTTTTATTATTATTTGATAACACTTATCAAATTTATAAATAATTAATTATAAATTTTTTCACTAGATAACGAGGTTACAAATAACTTCCAAGTATATCCAAACGATAAAAATTGATTGAACGATATTTGAAGTTAATTTTTTTTTTCCAAAATTAGCGACTCTAGAACTTGTATATCGGTTCTGTGCTCATAAATCTCAAAAATTTATATCGTTACCTTCTCAAATATGATATGTTTTATCGACCGAGATGATTCAAACTCTTCATATCGGTTTTATAAAATATATATTTATTCGGTTTTATATTAGTTTTGGTTGTTCGAGTCTCCATTTAGGAGAAAATTTCTTCAATCATCTGGAAGATGTATTTGAGCCGAAGATTCACTAGAGCTTTCAAATTATAAAAAAATATTAGTTCTAATTCGAGTAATTTCTTATAAAAATTTTGGATCCGGATTCGGGTAATCCTAAAATTCCGAGTACCGACCCGTATCCACCTCTACCTAGATTTGCGTTATCAAGTTTTCAAATTATCAAAAAAAATATTAGTTTCGGTTTCTTTATATTTACGTTTAGATTCAATTTTTTATCTAAAAGAATATTCAAAGAATTTTTGATTATTTTTAGGGGTAATCACATAAAAAAACCCGAACTTTTACAAAAATCCCAAATAAATATCCGAACTATAAAATTGTCATATAAATACCTGAACTTTTCAAAACTCCCACATAAATACCCAGACTTTTAAATGTTTTCCAAATCAAACAAACGCAACTGCTAACTCAGCAAAAAAACTGCTGACTCAGCAAAAAAAACTGCTGACTCAGCAAAAAACTGTTGACTCATCATTCAAAAATATTATTAAATATCCAAATATTCATCTACATGTATTTAAATTAATATATACATATAAATTCATATATATATACAAATATATATATATATATATAT